CCTCCTCCACCTCCTCCACCTCCACCCCCCCCGGAGCCACCTCCGCTGCCCTTGGCTCCCTTGCTCTTGCCGTTGCGACACCTCCCACTAGGAGGGAGAGGCAGCACCAGCAGACTCAGCACCAAGGAAGTCAACAGCAGCAGCAGTAGCGAAGGAGGGGGCGAGGGGAGAGGGAGAGCACCCCTCGAAGATAGGGGTGCGAGGAGCGCTGCGAGCAGCACCTACAGCAACAATGCTCTTCTCTATTGCAAGGAGGCGTTCCTCTAGGAGGTCTATAGTGAGGTCGGTGGGACTGCGAGCAAGAAAATAGTCCCTGACCGAGCTTAGAGATTCAAGGAGGCGGGTAACTATGAAGTGGAGGGTCCAGTACATCGGAGGTGGGTTCTTAGCACAGAACTCTGTAAGGAGGGCGGCGCGAAGGCGAGTGTCGCTAGTGCGAAGGTGGGTGATGAGATCGGCAACCGTGGCAAAGGTGGACAGCTCAGGAAACAGGTAGGGCAGCATGAGGCGGCTAAGCTCAGCTGTGGCAGGAGAGGTGTATCGAGCCACTACGGCGTCGTAAAGGGCCTTAGCGGTCTTGTGCTCGCCAAAGTGCGTGAGCTGGGCTAACGGCAGGTGGTTGCGAACGGCTAGGCGAGCAGCAGCGTCACAAGTCTACCATTGGGAACGGGCACTAAGCTCAGCGGTGGCAGCGGGAGCGTCTGAGGCACCAGACGTGTGGTCATAAAGGGAGACATTGTCCTTGCTATTGCTCATTAGGAACAGCTGCAGGTCATCGAGCCAGGCGTCGAACTGAATCGGGCGGCCCTCGGCATCGAACGACAGAACGCGGAGGGTGGCCATAGCTGCTGGCAGGGCAGAGCGATTGCAGGCAAGCAGCAGTAGCAGTAGTAAGGAGGAGCAGCTGCAGCAAGTAGGAGCAGCTGCAGCAAGTAGGAACAGCAGCAGCAAGAAGGAGCAACCGCAGCAAGGAGGAGCAGCAGCAGCGAGGAGCAACTGCAGCAAGTAGTAGTAGTAGCAGCAAGGAGGAGTAGCTGCAGCAAGTAGTAGCAGCTGCAGCAAGGAGGAGCAGCTGCAGCAAGTAGGAGCAGCAGCAGCAAGGAGCAGCTGCAGCAATGAGGAGCAAAAGCAGCAAGGAGGAGCAGTTGCAGCAAGTATCAGCAGCATCAGCAAAAAGGAGCAGCTGCCGCAATGAGGAGCAGCAGTAGCAAGGAGGAGCAGCAGCAGCAAGTAGTGGCAGCTGCAGCAATGGTAGCGGCAACAGCAACTGCAGCAAGTAGGAGCAGCTGTAGCAAGTAGCAGCAGCAGCAGCAAAAAAAGGAGCAGCTGCAGCAATGACGAGCAGCAGCAGCAAGGAGGAGCAGCTGCAGCAAGTAGTGGCAGCTACAGCAATGGTAGCAGCAGCAGCAAGTAGCAGCAGCTGCAGCAAGTAGGAGCGGCTGCAGCAAGTAGTGGCAGCTGCAGCAAGTAGTAGCAGCTGCAGCAACGCTGGTGCAGCAGCGCGCTAGGAGTTCAGGCAGCGTATGGGGCTATAGGCGGCCGGTAGGGCAGCACGGCGGGCCGTACGCAGAGCCTAATGGGCGGCTGCAGGAGCAGGGCGGGCGGCGCCTAGGTGCAGCAGGCAGCCACGGCAGTATGGCAGGCGGCGCACGGGGCGACGAGCGGCCGGCAGAGCAGGAGGGCGGGCGGCGCACGGGGCTGTGGGGCAGCGCGACAAGCGGCGCGCGGGGCGTAGCAGGCAGCCGCGGCAGGAGCAGGCGGCACACAGGGCTACAGGGCCTACGGGGCTGTTGGCGAGCGGCGCGCGAGCTGGCAAAAGCTGCGCGCGGGCGGCGCGGACGGCAGACAGGTCGCGCGGGCTCCTAACGGGCGACGCACGGGCCAACAGAGGCAGCTAGCGGGTCGCGCGGACTACTAACGGACGACGCGCGGACCGCACGGGCTGCTAGCGGGACGTTCGCGGGGCTAGGGCAGTACGGGGCGCGGGGTAGCTCGAGAACCGTAAGTAGTAGGTGGTGGACCCAAAAAAATCGTTCCTAAGGTCCTAAGGACCTAATGCTCTTAATACCATGTTAGAGTTCTAGGTAGGAATGTTTTGACTATCAAGGGAATTGGGTACAAGGATGAGAACCCTAAGGGGTTGTACCCTACATTGGCTACCCCACTAAAGCCTAAACCTAATTATAAATCATATATAGTTTGACACTTGATGCATCAGCCTTTTTTTTTTAACATCCCTGATGTTCCAGTGTTTTTTAATTTCAAACTCTGATTTTCCAGTGTTTTGTGTTTGAGGAGATTGCCGAGTCAGTGTTGTATCGAGGTCTACCTTGAAATCGAAAACTCAATATTTTGGCGTGCCGTCACCGTGCACCTAGGGAATTTCTGGCAAAACATGCTCTGACAGGGCAAATCTCTTGTGTGAGGGGCGAATCTACTGCTGTGTCATAGCAAATCCGCTGCGATTGGGCAAATTTGCTGTGCTGCGACAGCGCGAAACCACTGTGCGAGGTCGCATTTGCTGTCAAGGCGAATCTGCTGTGACGAACAAAGTCCGAATCACCAGTCAAGTACACAACCAGAGATCAGACAAGAATTCTGACCAATCAGAACGGAAATAGCAAAATTCTGGCGAATTTGGGAATTGTAAAGTAAGGGCAGTCTGATTCGCTGTGTTATGACAACATACTATGCAAATTGAGAATGAAAATGAAGAAGAGAGAGGGTTTTCACTAGCAGCAATGAGGATATATATAGCAAACCCTAGATGGGTTGTACTCGCTATAGAGCACCCCACTACAGGCTAGAGAATAACATTCTGACACACCCCCATAGCCAAAGTGGGTTGTAATCAGCACAATGAGCAAGCAGGCATAGAGCAGGAGTTCACAATAGGTAAGTAAGGCTAGAGCTAATCACAGAGGGCAAGTGAGGAGGAGGAGAGACTGTGGGGGAGAGAAGATGGGAGGCGACTGCTGACGCTGCAGATAGACAGACGAGCTGCTGGCTCAGTGGCTACCGAAGCAAAGGCCCGGACTACAGGAGTAACTGGCTCCGCGGCTAAAAGTAGTGGCAGACAAGCAACTGACCCACAGGCGGCTGGCGACTACCGGAGATTGTAGCCTCCGGACTGCTGGTGCTGCTGACGACAAGACTGCTACCTCCACGCAACCTCCCCCAGTTGCCCAACGCCCCTCTCACACACCCCCTGCTCAAACCCTAACCCTACACCCACAGCACCCACGTAAACCCTAAACCCCAGACGCCCACACATCCACCTCCCTCAAAACCCTAGCTCCACTCCCACAGTACCCCCCTTAAACCCTAAACCCCAGGCTCCCACACATCCACCCCCCTCAGCGAGAGCTGCAACAGTGGGAGACGAAGGAGGAGGAGGAGCAGGGGAGACCACACACCCGTCACCCCCTTCTTGCCACCCCCAAACCCTAACACAGGGCAGGGCGGGACGGCGGGTAGGGGAGGGGGGGGGGGGGGGGTGACGCGCGGCCTCTTAGGGCGCCAAAGCAGACGGTAGAAGGGGCGACGCTCGCCCCCCCCCCCCCCCCCCCCAGGCGCGGCCCCCTCAGGTCGCCTCGACAGGCGACGGGAAAAGGGGGGGGGGGGCGGTGCACGTGCCCCCGGTGCGCCGCGACTGGCGGCGGGGCATGCTCGGGGCGAGGCCGGGGCCGCTGTAGGCGGCGACGAGGCCGCTGAAGGGCGGCGACGGGGCCGCTGAAGGGGTGGCGGCAACGGGGCCGCTGAAGGGGCGGCGACGGGGCCGTGGAAGGGCGGCGACAAGGCCGTTGAAGGGCGGCGTCGAGGCCGCTATAAGGGGCCGCGACGGGGCCGCGGAAAGGGCGGCGTCGGGGCCGCGGAAGGGCGGCGACGGGGCCGCTGAAAGGGCGGCGACGGGGCCGCTGAAAGGGCGGCGACGGGGCCGCGGAAGGGTGGCGACGGGGCCGCTGAAAGGGCGGCGACGGGGCCGCGGAAGGGCGGCGACGGGCCGCGAAAGGGGTGGCGACGGGGCCGCGAAAAAGGTGGCGACGGGGCCGCGAAGAGGCCGCGAGGGGCCTGGAAGGGCGGCAACGGGGCCGCGAAGGGGCCGCGAGGGGCTAGGAAGGGCGGCAACGGGGCCGCTAAGAGAAGCGCGAGGGGCACGCCACGGGGCGTGCCGAGCACAGAGTAGCAGCGGAAGCAATTGGGTCCTAGGATCGGAACCGCTCTGATACCATGTGAAAATTGAGAATGAAAATGAAGAAGAGAGAGGGTTTTCACTAGAAGTAATGAGGATACATATAGCAAACCCTAGATGGGTTGTACTCGCTATAGAGAACCCCACTACAGGCTAGAGAATAACATTCTGACACGTACCAATATAAGCAACTATGCTAATCAATGTTGAAGTTTTGGAAACCCTGATTGATCAGCGTATTATTTCTGGCAACCCTGTAATATCAGTGTTTCACACTAGACGACACTGAAAATCAATGTTACCCTTCTAGGGACAATGAGTGCTCAGGGTACCCAAAAACCAATCTGAGGCCCTGCTCTCACACACAAGTGCAAGTTGGTTCAACAAGTTCATTAAAGCCCGAGTCTAGAATGGCAAGGGTTCTACTTCAAGATTCTTGAACTAGAATTCGCAAAGGAACAAGGTAACCCTATTTGGATCTGCATCACCTCGCGACCCACCAAGAGGGAGTTGAAGCACGAGGTAGTGATTGGCCAGATACAGCACAGGCAATCCCACACAACCCTCGCCATAACAAACAAAAGCGCGCGGTACTGTTACCCGCGTGTTGTTACCCGCCCTAGCGATGTCATTCAAACCTCAAGGGAATGGATGGCATCTGGATTGACACACAGGTATAGGTTCCGATATATTTCTGGGCGACCAAGTGCTTCCAACTTGGAATATGGGGTTTTGCGTGTTACCTGACGAAAACCATTGACGAGACAAATGTTCGACCGGAGAGCCGACGGGACACTTGTTCACAAGGATGTTCCACGCTCTTAGCCTGTTATTCCGTGAAAGAGACACCGCGGTAAAGTATTTTTTCCCCCATCCAGTGATTCGGCCTTACACTTTCAGCCCACGTCCCTCAGGTCTCATCATTCGATCAGGTTAGAACCCTCGCTACCGTACGCTTACGACTGTCGAGACTTGCCTTCCAGCCCTCCCATCGCTCTCGTCGCTCCCATAGCTCTTGTCGCTTCCATCGGTCCCGTCCCTCAGTCACTCGCAATCCTTTCGGTCGCATGCGGCACGCGCAGAAAAATAAGCGAGAACCGTAGCCCTCGTCGCTCCCTCCCCTCCCTTTGCTCTCGTTCCTACCGTCGCCTTTCTCTCTCACATCGATCCCGTCCCTCGCGAAGCTCTCGTCCCTCCGTCCCTCCCATCCTTCCTCCCGTCGCCTCCGTTTATCCTCAGTCGCTCCCATCCCTTCTCTTGCCGTCCGTCACTCCCGTCCCTCCTCCCGTCCCTCACGTTCCTCCTCAAGTCCCTCGCGTCGCTCTCCGCCGCTCGCATTCCTTCCCTCTTCACCTCTTCCCGTTCCCTACACTATTCTACCCTCCGTGCTGCTTCGGCCCTTCCAAACGCGCATTCCCCCCCCCCCTCCCCTCTCCCCCCCCCCCCTCCCCCCCCCCCTCAACGCACACTTTCCGCGCTTCCCTACGCGCAGATCCCCCCCCCCCCCCCCTTACCTACGTGCAGTTTCCACCCTTCCCTTCGCGCAGTTCCCCCCCTTCCCTTCGCGCAATTCCCCCTTCCTATCCCTCACTCACACCCACCGCTCGCTCCCTTCCCTCTCTGCCTCACTTCCCCCTCGAATATCCCATTCCCTTTCCCCCCCCTCCTTCCCTCCTCAATCTGCCCCACTCTTCCCTCTATTCTCCTCCTTTTACCCCTCCCCCGTCCCCTCTATCCTACTCCTATCCATCACCTCTATTCTCCTCTACTCTCTCCCTTTCCCCTTGTCCTTCCATCCCACTCCCCACTTGCCCCTCCCTCCCTTTCCCCTTGTCCTTCCATCCCACTCCCCACTTGCCCCTCCCTCCCTTTCCCTCCGTTTCCCCCCCTTTCCGGCCCTCCCTTTCCCCCGTGTCCTTCCCTCCGTTTCCCCCCTTGTCCCTCCACTGCTTTCCCCCATGTCCTTCCCTCCGTTTCTCCCCTTGTCCCTCCCTTCCTTTCCCCCATGTCATGCCCTGATCCCCATGCCCTCGCCGACTTCGTTTCCCCTGCCCATCAACCTAATACCCCCCCCCTCCCCGTCGCGACCCCTTCCATCGTCCTCCCCTCCACCCTCGCTTCCCCTCGCTTTCTCTTCCCATCGGCAAAACACTGCTCCCACTTCCCTCCATGCTGCTTCCCCACTTCCCCTCCCAATCCCCTTGTCATTCCTTCTGCTTCCCACATGCCCATTTCCCTCCACATTCCCCTGCTGGCCTCCCTCAATATCCCTCCTCACCTCACTCGCCTTTCCCCTCCCCTCTGCTCTGCCCTTATTCCCACTCCACTCCCCTTCCCTCCCTTCGAATGTCCTCCCCTCTCTCACTGAAACCTCCCTCTTTCCTTCCCACCCTTGTCCTCTCTTTCCTTCCCTTCCTAGTCTTCTACTCTGTTTGCATCTCTCTCTGTCCCACTCCTCTCTTCCATCTCTGCCCTTCTCATCCTCGCCACCTTTCCTTCTTGATGACCGCGCCCACCGGCTTGTTTCTCGCTCCAGGGTCTTCTCAAATTGCACCTCCGACCTGCGCCTCACAAGATGTGCATGTGCAGCACCACCACGCAAATTTCGCCGTTATGGACCGGAAGATAGGCGATGGGCACAAGATGGACGTGGCGAGAGTTTTTACAATGAATTATTAGTATTGAATCGTGGAAAATCTTTGCAATGAACATTACTATCTGTCAATCACCCACACAAATAATGATATATAAAAAATCCTTATCTTTTCACTTCAGAGTTGCTATTTCGTCAGTGTGGTAAGCATTTCACATCAGTCTTACATGCTGCAAAGCATTTTGTAGTATGGAACCCTTTTCAACAGGGCTCTCGTTATCAGACCAAATTGGTCTGATGGTCTGATTTTCAGACCTAGATTTTTGCTTTCATCTGATCTCTAAGACGATGCTTTTTATTTCGTCAGATCCGTAAGATGACTGATTTTAGTTCATCTGATGTTTCAGAGCAAGCGCTACACTTAGTCCAAAATTTCAGATAACGAGTTGTTTTTCGTCTGATACCGATCCCCCTCCCCCCAACCCCCCCTTTCCCCCCCGAACTCTCGCTACTCTACCAACTCAGCCCCCCCTTCTATGCCCTCGCTCCTCTTCCAGGCCTAGTCCTGTCCAAACCTTCTCCCCCTTCCCCCAACTAAGGTCTCCAGGTCTCGCTCCCAGCCTAGCCCGCTTTCATGCCCCTCGTAATGTCTCGCAGCCCAGGCCCCCCTTTTCTTCGCGTCCCTCCACCTCCACCCAGCCTGATCCCTCGCGTTGCAGCCCCTCATTGTCACGTGCGTGCCCCTCGACAGCCACACGGCTGTCAGCTAGCGAGCTGCCAGCACCGCGCCAAGGGCGCGTTCATTAACAAAATAAGCGTGATTATGTCAGACAAGTGTGTTAGCTAAATTAGGTGTCAGATATATATGACATAGCTATTGTAGGCTATAGTGGGGTAGCACATATGGGGTACAACTTTCTAGGGTTTGTATCTGTACCCAACTTTCACTTAGTCATTTCATTCTCGCTCAACTTCTCTCATGGTATCGAGCAGGTTCCCCTGTGGGAACTGCGCCTAGGGCCCACCACTTCGAATTTTTTTTACTGCCCGAAGCGCGCTCATCCTAAGTCGCGCCTCGGGCTGTTAACTCGACGAGCCGCCCTAGTGGCCTTCCCTCCCCTAGCGGCCCTGCCGCCCTACTGTCGCGGCCTCGCCGCCCCTGATTCGCGGCCTCGCCGCCCTGCTTTACCGGCCCCGCCGCCCTGCTTTAGCGGCCCCGCCGCCCTACACCTAGCGGCCCCGCAGCCCTACACTTTGCGGCCCCGCCGCCCTGCTTTAGCGGCCCCGCCGCCCTACACCTCGCGGCCCCGCCGCCCTGCTTTAGCGGCCCCGCCGCCCTACACCTCGCGGCCCCGCCGCCCTGCTTTCTCGGCCCCGCCGCCCTTCATTTCGCGGCCCCGCCGCCCTGCTTTAGCGGCCCCGCCACCCTTCCTTAGCGGCCCCGTCGCCCTGCTTTAGCGGCCCCGCCGCCCTGCTTCAATGGCCCCGCCGCCCTGCTTTAGCGGCCCCGCCTCCCTACACCTCGCGGCCCCACCGCCCTTCATTTCGCGGCCCCGCCGCCCTGCTTAAGCGGCCCCGCCGCCCTACACCTCGCGGCCCCGCCGCCCTGCTTTCGCGGCCCCGCCGCCCGACTCTACCGGCCCCGCCGCCCCTCTGCTGCGGCCCTGCCGCCCTGCACCTGGGGCCCCGCCGCCCGTGTGCTGCGGCCTTGCCACTCTCCTCTCCTGCCCGCCACCCGAGCCACCGACCGCAGCACCACCCTGCAGCGTGCACCCGAGCAGCCGACCGCCGCGCCGCCAAGTACCGAAGGAGCCGGGCCGCCCAGCTGCAGAGCCGCCCGGCCGCCCACCAGCCGGGCGTCGTTCAGCCGAGCCGCCCAGATGCCGAGCAGCTGTGCAGCCGAGCCGCCCAGCAGCCGAGCGCCGAGCCGCCAAGCCGCCCAGCCGCCGAGCCGCCCAGCAGCCGAGCCGCCCTACTACCGAGCCGCCCGACCTGCCCTATCCGGTGAGCGCAGCCCCACTGTCAATGCGTGCCCTTCCCCTACTGCTTGCACTGCTAGTCTCTCGTTGTCATGGCTACCCCTAGTGTCGTCACTTTTGACGCTGAGGGTCGAGCCATTGACTTTGAGGTCTGGGTCGACGACCTGCATCTGTTTTTACAGTGCGATAGGGCGGATGGTCTTTCTCTCTTTGACCTCACCTCTGGCGCCTCTCCTGCCCCTGCTACTGACGCTGACCCCACTGTTCGCTCTCAGTGGGCCACACGCGATGCTGCTGCACGTCTTGCTGTGCGTCGCCACCTGCCTACCGCTGAGCGCGCGCACTTTAGTCAGTACAAGAGTGCTCAGACCTTGTACGACGCTGTAGTTGCGCGCTACAATTCCCCTGCCACTGCTACCGTACCTCTTTCCTGACCTTGCTGCCTTTCCCACAGTCGCCGACCTCATTACGCACCTCCGCACTAGTGACACTCGCTACCGCGCCGCACTTCCTGCTTACTTCTGCGCCAAGAACCCTCCCCCCATGTACATCACTCTCTATTACATAGTCACACGCCTCCCTGACTCCCTTCGCGTAGTCAGGGACCACTTCCTCTCAGTCTGTCCCACCACTCTCACTGTTGACCTCTTAGAGAAGGCCCTCCTAACAGCGGAGAAGAGCATAGTCGCTGTAGGAGCCTCTCGTGGTGACCCTCGCACCCCCATCTTTGAGGGGTGTTCTCCTCCCCCAATTTTGCCCTCTGTCGCCTCTGCCGCTGCGACCGACCTCGTTGGTCTTGAGTCGGTCGGTGCGTACGTCGGCTTCGGCCTCCCTCACCTTCACACTTGACTCAGGGGCTTCTCGCTCCTTCTTTCGAGACCGCACCACACTCACGCCGCTTGGTCGGCCGGTTGCAGTCTCCCTGGCTGACCCCTCTGGGGGCCCTGTCCTCTCTCACTTCTCCACTGACCTCCCGTGTCCGGCTGCCCCCTCAGGCACCCTGTCTGGTCTGTACCTCTCCTCGTTCTCGACAAACTTGGTGAGTGGTGCTGACCTGCAGGATGGGGGGGTTCACCAGTTTACTCCTGCGAGTCAGCGGGTGACCCACTGCTCGGACGCCCGCACAGGCCGACACCTGGCAACGTTTTCGCGTCGGCCGGGGTCGAGTCTCTACACCCTGACCACTGAGTCTCCTCCTATCCCTGCGTCTCGCCAGGTAGCTGCGTCGGGTCAGGTGTTTGTTGCTGCGTCCAGGTCTGGTCCTGAGTCTGCCCCCTGCTCGTGTCGCCTCCTGTCTCATGAGACTCTCTTGTGGCACCACCGTCTTGGCCACCCCTCCTTGCCTTGTCTTTGGGGCATGGCTTCCCGTGTCCTTGTCTCTGGTCTCCCCCGGTCTCTCCCTCCCCTTCCTTCGCCGCCAGGACCTTCCTGTGTCCCCTGTGTTGAGGGGCGACTCAGGGCTGCCCCTCAGTCCTCCCAGTTTCCCCCGATAGAGGCTCCTCTGCCGACGCTTCACATGGACGTGTGGGGCCCAGCCCGCGTCCGTGGACAGGGTCACGAGCGCTACTTCATGCTGGTGGTTGACGACTACTCACGTTACAACACAGCAAGGGTGATGTCACTGAGGTGTTGATCGACTGGATCCGCGCAGCTCGTCTCCAGCTGAGGAGGAGCTTCGGCTCGGAATTTCCTGTCCTGCGTCTGCACTCAACCGAGGTGGAGAGTTCTCCTCTGGCCTTCTGCAGGCCTACTGTTGTGCACGAGGCATCCGCCAGACCTTTACGCTTCCGGACTCTCCACAGCAAAATGGGATTGCTGAGCGCCGCATTGGCATGGTCATGGACGTCGCTCGTACGTCCATGATGCATGCAGCTGCCCCCCATTTTCTGTGGCCGTTTGCGGTTCGGTACGCGGCGCATCAGATCAACCTTCACCCCAGGGTCTCCCGGCCGGAGACCTCCCCAGCTCTGCTGTGGACGGGGAAGGTCGGCGATGCGTCTGCGTTCCGTGTCTGGGGATCTCGGGCGTTTGTCCGCGACTTGTCTGCGGACAAGCTGTCCCCTCGTGCTACTCCCTGTGTCTTCCTAGGCTTCCCCCCTGACGCCCTAGGGTGGCAGTTCTACCACCCCTCCTCTCGTCGTGTTCTGTCCTCCCAGGACGTCACGTTCGACGAGTCAGTCCCCTTCTACCGCCTCTTCCCCTACCGCACTCCTTCCCTCCCCCCGCCACCGCACTTCCTTGTGCCAGGCCCCCCCTAGGTAGACCCCCTTCCCCCTCAGGGTTTAGCCCCTTCAGGTGTGTCCCAGGTAGACGTAGTCGAGCCGGTCGAGGTTGCTGGTGACTCTGGTACTGCTGCGGGTGCTGAGCCTTGGGGTGCTGACTCTGCGGGTGCTGCGCGCGTGGGCGCTGAGCCTGGGGGTGCTGCGCCTGGGGGTGCTGAGCCTGGGGGTGCTGAGCCTGGGAGTGCTGAGTCTGGGGGTGCTGAGCCTAGGGGTGCTGTGACTGGGGGTGCTGAGCCTGGGGGTGCTACGTCAGGAGCTGCTGAGCCAGGGGGTGCTGCTGAGCCTGGAGTTGCGGAGCCTGCGGCCACTGGACCTCCCCTTCTGGCGTCTGGCGGTGCGGGGCCTGGAGGCTCTCCGGGTGCTTCGTCTCGGCGGGAGCCACTCTCTCCACAGGAGCTGCGTGAGTGGTTTGCTCGCCGCTGGAGGCGTACTGCCAAAGCTGGAGCTTCTTCGGCTGCTGAGGGTACTTGTGCCGCCGGTCCCGGGGCTCCTGGGCCTTCGGGTCCGCCTGGCG